TGAGGTGACTGCCAAGAAAGCCACTGTAATCTCGGCCTGCACTCATAAAAGAGGCACCATGGTGCAGCCTGCCGTTCAGAGCACCGTGTATCAAGGCACAGGGCAGAGAAGGTGGCCGGGAGGGACTCAGAATCCTGCCCCATGGGGGACAGTGGGAATAAGTGGTGGGTTGCTGCCTGGCCTTTTGGGGGCAGAGTGGTGAGAACTTCTCAGACTTAGGATTGGTGTGTAGTCTAGGGTCAGACTATTTGAACCAAAACCCCAACTTAGCTATTGACTGTGTTTTTCCTATGCACCAGTAATGAAACATCTGATTTAATCTTCACTACAACCCTCTGAAGGAGTACTATTTTTATCCCTCTGAGACACATTAGAACATGGAAGCCCAGAAAGACTAATTAGCTAGCCACATATCACACAGCCACCAAGTGGAAGAGCTAGGCTTTGAGTGCAGGGAGAGTGCACTTTCTTGTTCTCATTGTGCCTCAGTTTGCCTTAGTGTTGCATCTGTAAACTATTCCAATACAGAAAGGCTTAAAACAGAAACATTACTTGCTCAGAAATCTGCAACCTGGGCCCAGCGTTGTGGGAACAGCTCATCTCTCTCCACACGACATTGGCTGAGATGTAGCTCAGTGTTAAAGCATGCACCTAGCACACATGAGGCCCTGGGTTTGATCTCTAGCATTGTATATACAAGGAAAGAGGGAGCTAGGATACTAAGTCACTCTCCATTTAGTGCCTAGGACGGGAAGGACCTTGGGCAAAGGGCTAGGAACTGGAGCTGCTGAGGCTCCTCAGATCTCACTCTGTGGGATCCCCCCATTTGCACCCCAGCATGGTATCTATGGGGTAACAGACTTCTCACCTATCAGCCCCTAGCTCCCTGCCACATGTCCTGAGACCCAGTGAGAGAACCAGGAGAACATGTTAATCAGAGGCTCAGAAGTCAGTGTCAGTTAGGTCTTTTGCACCGTACTGGCCAAGGTGGTTGCAAAAGTGAATCCTAGTCCGGGAGCAGGAAACCTAAATTCCACACTCAGTGAAGTAAGGGCCTGTGAGATGGAATAGATACTGATGTGTCTTTCTTTGAGGAATACTATATACAACAAGTGCTTCCTGTGCTGACATGGAACTAAGTTTCTCACAGCCCCTGGAAGTCATAACCACTAAACTCATCCCAAAATTCTGCCCTAGAAGGAGCAATTATCCCATTTTACAGAAGAGAGAAGACTGAGACTGAAATACAGGAAGTTAAGCCACTGAATCATGTTACCAGTAAATGAGATGAACCCAAGGTGTATTGACAAGACCATCTCCATGAGCCGGCTCGCTTGGTGGCAGCCACAAAAGGCACCGCAGGCAATGGTGACTAATGGGGGAGCCTTGACACCCACCCACTGGGGTCCACATCTTGGCCCCTCCCTATGCTTACAAACCACATGTTCTTGGGCAAACTTCTTCCCACCATAGTGCCTGTGTGGATGAATTAAGACAATGCAAGTAAAAATGCTTAGCACATTGTCTAGGCACTGTTGAGGATTCTATAAATGTCAGCTGTTTTTATTTTAAAAACAGGCCCAAGAAAGACATCTTTATTTTTAAAGACAAATCTGTGGCTACTGCCAAAACTACATGTCATACATCCTCAAGCCCAGGAAAGGCTGCAGGCCACAATAGATGGGACACTGCGGCTCGCTCATCTGGGAAGTCAACCCCACTCCCTCTCTGCTTCCAGCAAAACAAGGCGAGCAGTAGAGCTGCTTGTTAGAGCTCCTCCACTGTCCCTCCCTGGAGGGGACCTCATCTGACTCAGCTCAGGGGCTCAGGGGGGATTCAGTGACTCACTGAGTATCAAAAACTGATTAAACACCCTCAGGTCTCAGGGAACAAACACCCAGAAGACCCGAGGTTCTCTCCCTCAGGGTCCCCTGAGGAGCCTCAGACAGGAGAATGTGGGCGGGAAAATGAGCCAGGCTTCCCAAGGCCAGGGGCTCATCATCCCTGCCCACGAGTCTCCAGTGGTGATGAGAACTGGGCTCTGTCTGCCACGGAGGCAAACCCAAGGGCCACCTCAGGACGGAGACCTGCATCCACTCGAATATCTCACAGCCCCGCAAATTTAGCACACACCCCACCCTGGACTCAGGTCTGTCCCCCACCAGACCAGGCCCTTCCGTGGAGGTCTCCCTGGTGCTCCCAGTGGCTCCAGCCAGCAATCTGGCTCACCTGGATTCTCCTCCGCCTGCCCCACACGTGACCTGTGCCAGGTCCTGCTGTTTCTGCCACCTGCTCACTGCCTCTGCAAGTGATCTACGCGGCACTGTAACAGCTTCCCAGCCCGCCTCCCTGTCTCCCCCAGTCCTTCCCCCTCGCCGGCTGCTGGTCTCAGAACTAAGTGGCATGTGTGTGAGGGCTGGCACTCTTAGAGGACCCTTCAGGGGCTCCCCTGGCCTTCCAGGTGGAGGCCACACTCCTCAGCGCAGTGTCAGGCCTTGACTGCCCATCTGTTAGACTGGATTATGTCCGCCAGAACTCATGTGTTGAAGTCTCATCCGCAAAACATGGCTGTATTTGGAGATGGGGCCTTTACAGAGAAATTGAGTTAAAACAGTTTTATTAAGGTACACTCTAATCCAACATGGCTAGTGTCCTTATAACTGGACTGCCCAACAGACTGTGTGGGGACCATACATAGGTGGCTCCAGTGAAGTTTCAGTCCACGCAGCATGGAAGTACGTAACTGTGATACCGCAGCAGGCAGGAGCCACACTTGGGAACCCAAGCCCCAGAATTTCTGGCCGTTTCAGTCAAAGTCAGGACAAGGCTCAGTCACCTCCACGAGTGACCACAGAGCCTTGTGCCCCTCCACGCAGCCCTCAGCCCTCAGCCCTCATGGAACAGCTGCACCCACCACCACCTTGCCAGGCGGGGCCTTAGTTCCATGCACAAGCCCTGCACAAGTGCTTCCTGTGCTCCTGACGTGGAACTAAGTGCCTCATCTGCTCGCTGGCCCAAAAAGCAGTGGAGAAAAGCCTTCCCAGCTAAGTCTGTTGGGCTCTGCACAGTCCCTGCAAGAGACTGGATCTGGCCTGGATTTTACCTAGAAGGAAGTAATCTGGGCTCTCTGAATAGGGACCCATTTACTTAAAAGGAAAACAACTTAATGTTTGCTCTATCTGGCCTAGAACGAGGTGCACACCAATTCCGCCTCTGCACCTTTCCTGGTCTGTTTTCATCTGTGTCACTTGCCAGCATCATCTAACTTAGTGTTTAATCAATTTTCTCGCTGACTCTTCCCTTCTGCACCCTGTATCATCCCAGTAGGATGGGGAGAAAGGCTCTGCCCATTGTGCCCTCTGCAGTTTCTCTTCTGCCTCCCAAAGGCCTGGTGCATGGTCATTGTTGGGTGTGTGCCATTGATATGGACAGAGAGGAATGAGCGAGTGCACACTTCCTTCTTCTGTCCTCTCCAAACACACGGGGATGCGTCTCCACTCTCGTCACTGCCTTGATGATTCCCAGGTACTCCCAGCAGGGACCCTCCAAGCCCAGCTCCCCTTGCATCTTTCCTTTCTCTGCTCACAGGAAGGCCTGGGCTGCCCAGGGATGCTGCTCTGAGCCCTACACACGTCCCCCCAGGACCATGGCAGTGTGGTGACTCATGTAGGACCAGCCATGCCTCCACTCGTCTTGTAACTCATGCACAGCCCACCAAAGCCAGGCATCCTTCCCCTATGGATGGAAGTTCGTACGCAGCCTGAGTCTGAGGCTGGGACCATGGCTGTGGCGGTACCAGGTACATGCAGGGTCCCTCCACAGTTCTGCCTTGGGACAGGAGGAGTGGCGGGGTCCTGGACGCTCTGAGGGTGGGAGGTAGCAGGGAGGTCAGGCTCCACAGTCGCCACAGTGGCAGCCACCCAGACTCCGGAGCCTCCCCTCAGACCAGCAGCCTCGTGGGGCTGGTGTGAGAAGCAGGATGAGAAAAACAGGCCAGAGAACAGGATTGTGGCCAGCAGGGCGGGCTGGGCTAGAATCCCCCCCAGCCTCTTGTTCGCTGCGTGACCTGAGAGCCTCTAAACCGGCCTCTTCGCACCTTGCTGTTGTTTAAAGGTCTGGCACATGGTTAATGAGAGAGATTATGAAATGTAGAAGCACACAGGGAAGTGACCTGGTCCCAGGTCACAAGAGGGAAGAGCAGGTATGCTGCAAAGTTACAGTGTTCTGTTGATGTCTTAGCACTGAAGAATTGTTCCGTTTTCCTCTACTCTGCCCTCCACACCACACCTGCACTTCTAGGTGGAGAAACACAGTGACATGCTGAGCCTGAGGCACAGCCGGGTGGCTGGCTTGGCCTGGATCCTCCCAGGAACCGCAGACCCTGGGCGCCTTTGCCTGGGTGTGACCGAGAGGAGATGTGCATGTGATTGCCCCGCGGAGCCCCTGGAGCCAGACTGACGGTGGTTCCAGTCTCAGCCCTGCCACTCACCTGCCTGACCTTGGCTAAGTACCAACTGCTCTGTTTTGCTTTCCCCTGCAGAATGTGGTCAGGATAGGCAGCCCCTCTGTTCCCACAAACACCGTGCTTTCCAGCCTCTCTGCCTTTCCTCTTGACACCCTTGTCCTCACTCATCTCTGCCCACCTAACCAGCCCTCGAAGTCTTACCTAGGTCCCATCACTGCCAGGTGTTTCTGGGTCCCTCTGTCACCCCTGGCTTCCCTTTCCCTCTGACACGTGCCGTTTTCTGTGGCAGTCACCCTGGCACAGAGTGGCAGGAGCATACATTTTATTTCCGCTCCTCTTTTCAGTGATAAGATTTGGAGCCACACCTGGGTTTGCCTTCAGCTTTGTGACATCAGTGGAGCTGCCTAAATTCTCAGAGCCTCAGTTTTCCCATCTGTAAGAAAAGGACATTAAAAAAAACCCTCTTACGGTCTGTGGTGTGAACCAGAGGAGACAGTGTGTACAAAACCTTTAGTACATGGGATGTGCTCCTTACCTGTTATCATATGTGACATGGTCCTGGCACTGAGCAGGTGTTGCCTCTGAAAAGGCTGTCATTTGAAAGTCATTCCTTTGGGTTCTCTCCAGCTTCTGAAAGGCAAAACTTGGGGTTAGTGGTGGCCCCAAGAAGCTGCAATGATGAATTCTCACAAATGACTGACCTCTTGTTTGACATCAGAACTCTGGTGCCTAGTGAGAAAGCAGAAAAGCTGATTACTGTTTCGCAAATCGGGTGGGCGTGGTGGCTCAGGCCTGTAATCCCAACACTTGGGAGTCTGAGGGAAGAGGATCACAGAGAGCTCAAGACCAGCCTGGGCTGGTTTCAAAAAGAAACAAAAAAGCCAGAGCTTCTCGGCCTTAATCTTGGTCCCAAGCAGAAGTGAACATAATGTGGGAAATGGCTTCCATTCACTGAGGGGCCTTCGTCCGTGTTCTTTCTATAAACCTGGTGACAAACCTGCAGGGTCATCACCGGTCTCCTGTTAAGTGACTTCCCCAAGATCACGCGAGATCTGAGACCGAGCTCAGATTCAAGCCAGGTCAGTGTTACTCCAGGGCTCCCACAGACAAGAAAGAGTAGGAGGAGGATAGGGAGAAGATGCACACCCCCGTGACAGGGCAGAAAAACAATCTGTGAAAATGTATGGCTGTATTTATAGAAAATTAATTCAGCATACGACTTCATCATAAAACCATTTCTCGAAACATTAACTCCTATCAATGTTGTAAAAGTCCTGGAAGCTACACATTTTCATTAAAAAAAAAAAAAAACAAAAAAAAAAAACCTCTTATC